GAAGCCCACGTTGTTATCTGGACACCACCTCGAAAGCAGAGCTGGGTGACGCTTGAAGATGAATTTACTGTAAGTCAAAGGGCTGACGTCGCTCTGAGGCAGTGCAGAGCTTCAGAAAAACATAGCATGACACACACTCACCTACAAACACATGCTAACCTGGGAATCTCACTGTAACTTCACACACTTGAATAACCGCGTATTGTACAAGAACTCTGACAGCTTTAGAGCCAACTGCACAAAATATACAGTCCTGTGATTAACATACTTCCAACAAACCAATAAAAACAGGTTTTAGTTTAAAGAGTGCAGCGATGGTACTTTGACCTGGCATCGATACACGACACAGCATCAATCAATCAAATCATCAAATTGATAATTAATGACAATGAGCTTGATACGATGTCATGATTCAGCATTTTACTGCCTTAAAGCCGCAGATCCAGCTTTGTGTCTGTGTCATGTCAAATTAAACCATGAGCAAAGTCAGGCTAAAGCTAAATAAATCATAACATATGTGCTTTATCTGGCAAAAAAGTGGAAAAACCGTTAGCTGTGTGTAAAGTGGAGCAGCAGGAAGAAGAGCTGTGTCTGTGCACGCCAACACGCCTTGTTGCATTTAATCTGCGGATAAATCCTATGAGGATGGCCTCACCTGGTCATGATGACAGTTGTTTTAAATGTTCTCCACTAGTAAATAATGTTCCACAAACTTTTGAAGTCTTTTTAAATCCAGACTCATATGCATCTACAATCTTCTTTCTGGAGGTCTCAAAGTGCTATTTGGATCTCACCACGGTGATACCAGCCATCTCAACAAACAAGAGCAAACCAAACTAAATGTCTGAGGTTTAAATAAGACAGGCTCGTCCAGAATTCTCTGTAACCTTGTTGATTGCACATCAATCTAATATTAGTCATTTTAAGTAATGATATATTTGGGGGGCATCTTAACTTTTTCCTCTCAAGAAATTGCTTTTTAATTACAATTTACACAGGGAAATTTCTTTAGTTTTATTTGTTGAGTTATACCACTTTAATCTCTCAATATTACAGTGTTACAATGAAGAATGTCCATATGTTTAGCTATGTTAAAAAACAGGTTTTCATGGGGTGTCCTAATTTTTCACATGACTGTGGGTCACTTACTCACTTTTCTGAAGCATTTGCTGAATCTGAGGTGTCATGTTCCTAAAAACTCATCATTTGAACAAATATCATAAAAATGTAAGTTAAGATTAGAAACAAGTTGTTGCATGAGGCCCCATCATGTCTTATAGGGTCGTGAATATGCTGCTCACTGCCACTAGATGTCACACCATCTTCAGAATCTCAGGCCAAAGCAAACACTTTGTTTGCCACACCCACAGCAAGGTGTTCCTAATACAGTCTATAGGGGTTAGAAAGCCAATTAAAAGCAACCCATTAACACAAAACCTTCAGCAACCCTGTGTGCAGGAGATCCAACAGGAAACCCCTCCAGCTATAGCTGCTGTGACTGGAAGTGATCCTGTCAGTGTCTGAACTTCTCCCTAAGACGCCTTGTCGGTAAATTACATTTGAACTAGTCAGAGCTGTTCCCGGTCTCTCTCACATCTCTCTCTCCCTCCTCCCCCTCTCCACTATCACTCTCTCTTCTCTCCACTCTTTTCCACCCACCTCTCCTCTCCTCCCCTTTTTCTTTGCTCACCCCATTCGGTGAGGCAGATGACCGCCCACATTGAGTCTGGTTCTTCTAGAGGTTTCTCTCTGTTAATGAGGGGGTTTTCCTCCACAATCACCAAAGTGCTGCTCATTGTGGGAACTGTTTGGTTTCTCTATATTAAATAAGATTTTAAGGTCTTGACCTCTAT